TAGGATTCAAAGGAGACAGCTGAGGCGACAGAGGTCACTGTCCCCGGGGAGAGAACCGGCCTGTGCGCCAGAGCACGAGACGGCCAGGCCTGAAGGACGCACAGGGGAGGTTGAGAGCCACATCCTGTCACGGGACAAAGGAGACAGATGCTGCAAGCCGGTTAGAATTGGGGCCGAGCGTAAGAACCAAGAGGGACTGAGCTTCTACTAAGGAAGCGCCTGGCTGAGTGGGAATTCTGTCCTGGGGAGAGCTGTTAAAAGATGAAACCAGCTGCCAGAATACTAAATCCAGCACCCAGGTGCCCCTCTGCAATGCCACCAGCGTGAGCCGGGTTGCAGCGGATGTCTGCAAGAGAGAGCTGTAGCTTATCTCTGCAGTCATGGACATTTTCCTGCAGCTTCCCATGCCTGTATCTACCGATCTCGTCCCAGAAGGGCTGAAGTCATCAAAGCCCAGCCAGGGACGTAGCCACATGCCTCCCATGAAATGAACAGAAGCGGTCTGGCTAAAACCTCATGAATTATCTGTGAATACTCTTACTATGGCCAGTTTCCATAGGGCTAACGGGAGTTGGCTAAAAAATTGAGATAAAGAGAGCACTGTGGCTTGTATCTGCTGGACTTTTTTTTAAAAAGGGTGTTAGAAACTCTTTGTCTCTCTCTCATCCTCAAGCTTTGGACCACAATACCCGGTGCTGGAGCTAGGAGAGAGGAAAAGCTCTAAAAGGAGATTAGACATGTGCGGGCAGGTGGTGCGGCGCTCGTGGAAAGGGTGGGGCCTCAAGTGGAATGGGTGTGGCCTCCAGCAGAAGGGGCGGGGCCTCACATAGAAGGGGTATGGCCTCACGCATAAAGGGTGTGGCCTCCAGCGGAAGGGGCGGGGCCTCATGTGGAAGGGGTATGGCCTCAAGCAGAAAGGGTGTGGCCTCCAGCGGAAGGGGCGGGGCCTCATGTGGAAGGGGTATGGCCTCAAGCAGAAAGGGTGTGGCCTCCAGCGGAAGGGGCGGGGCCTCACATAGAAGGGGTATGGCCTCAAGCAGAAAGGATGTGGCCTCCAGGGGAAGGGGCGGGGTCAACCGGCCCTCCGCGCCACCCCTCCGGCCCTAAGCTCTGCCTGGAGCACACTGTGCCACGCCCCATCTTCCCAGGCAGCCTAAGAACCGTCCAGAGGGCACCATGGTAACGGAGGCAGCCTCTGGGATCCCTGGACCCTTTTGAGTCGCCAGGCCCCGGGGCAGCTGCTCTCTTTACCACCCTGAGGTCGGCAGCACGAACACTGTGACAAACCGGTGTGGAAGCAGCCCCAGGTCGCCTGCTCACCTCCAAGGAGCTCATGGAGAGGGTGGAGACCGTCTCGCTCTTGGGCACCATGCCCAAGTTCCCTGAGTCGCCCGGGTCGCACAGGCTGTTGGGGAGCTGCGCCTCGCCGGAGATGTGCTGCTGCTGCTGCTGCAACATGGGGGAGCCCTGCACCTCGGCGCAGGTCATCGCCCTGGGCTCCCTGGGTGGGCTCTTGACGATGAAGCCCGGGTCGGTCGCCATGCTGAGGTGAATGAGCCGGGTCTGGGGCATCTGGTCTATGTTGATGCTGTATTTGCTGTCGTCCTTGGGGGGCTTGGCCCGCAGGGTGGCGGTACTGTTGCTGGGCAGGATGACGTAGCTGGTGTCCAGGGCTTGCTCCTGCGCCCGCGAGAGCTCCGTGTCCAGCTTCTTGAAGATGTCCCCGTCGCAGATGTAGATCGACTTGGGCGGCTGGTTCTTCTCCTTCTTCAGGGTGAGGGTGTGGTTGCTGAAGTCGTTCAGGTTGATGGCCCCCAGGTAGTGCGGGGAGCCCTGCAGGTGCATCTTGGAGACGTTGGCTGGAAGACTGTTAAAGTTCGAGGACCCCTTCTGGTGGTTGAGCTTCAGCTTCTCCTCGTCCTGCAGCGAGGGGCGCTTCAGCGTCCCCGTGATGGTCGAGGTCCTGCACGTGCTGATGTCTTTATTCAGCACTGCGGGAGAGACAGAGGGGCCTCCTTAGCATCTCAGATTCACCTCAGCTCACTCGAACTCCATCCACATCTCACTGCACTCACACTGCCTTGGCATGGTCCCTCCACTCTCAGACAGAGGCTACCATGGCGGATCAATGCTTCCGGCTCACGGACCCGATGCGCGTGCCATCCCACGATGGCGACTGGGCCAGTGCTTACATTAGAGGATAATTATACTGGGGATGGGGGGACTTTGAAGGCCTCACTCACTGCCTTCAAGATAAAGGGAGCTAAATGAGCTCTTGTTAGTTTCACCTAGGGAAGAACCTTAATCGGAGGGTGGGGCAATCATGCCAATGCGGAGCTATATACAGCACACACACACACACACACACACACACACACACACACACACACAGCATCATCGTTTGCAACAAACACAGCTGTTCCTGTCTCGTTACAATCTGCCTTGATCAGCTGGGTCTAGGCTGCGACCGAAACGTTAAGACGCTCGTCACATCAGCCTTGACGTCTTTGGAGGTAAAAGTGGCAGGATTCTGGGGTGGGGCTGAATGCTACTTACCCAGCATTTCAGTGTGGAAAAGGGGAAACAATTCTAGCGAGAAAGAAGCCAAAAATGAGACTCTTTCTACATAGCTTTTTTTCCCAATGCAGCACACAGAAGAGGAGACAAAGCAGGAGCTGTGTTGTAACCTGGCACCATTCAGCCATTCTCGTTCATGGGCAAAGAACTCTACGGCACCTTGGAGGATTTCTGGTGCCGGGTAAAACACGGTGCTGCGGTTTCACTACTGACTTGTGCCAGGCGGGGTGGGTGTTGAACCAATGTGTTTCCAATTGGAGCGGGGTAGGCAGGGTCAAATCAAAGGGAAGCCAGGAGAAACCAACCAGGAAATGATGTTGAAGGCCAGACCTGCTGCGTGGAGACAGTCTTAGCCAATGTGGCTTGGCCAGAGGACAGCACTAGGATAGAACTTTGCTTGCGTGCAGGTTCATGGGCCAATTTCTGCCACTGGCTGTAAGCGAAAAGGCCACATGTCGCCCTGGACTGAACTCATCCCTGTTAGGGAACCAGGACTTTCAGCAGCAGCCACAGCCAGTGGGCTGTTGGGTGTATTTCTACAGTATGGTTTGGATTCAGAGAAGAGCTTGGGTCATGCACGGGGCATAGGAGCTCCCTGCATGCCCCGGCTCTGGCGGAGGTCTTGTCTCATGGCAGGGTGGGATTATTTCATCTCTAGTTTGCAGGGCTTTGAAGATTTGTACTGCTGGGTGTCCGCAAAGGAAACCAGGCCAGGTTAGGGAGCTGGGGTAGAGATCAGGGGTCTTCTTTTCTGGAGTCACCTGAAATCCCATTGCTCAGGGCAGCCTATTCTGGATGCGGGAGAGATTACACATCGCAAGCAAGTCTCCTGCATGGGAAGAGCCTGTCTAGGGCTCACCACTGATTTTCTGAGCCTGCTTCTCAAAATTATACAGCTGTGCACCCCCACTGGGCCTGAGCAGCTAGCACATGTCCGATTCTCCAGCTGCACATGGAATGGGGGCCTGCTGGGCACATCTGTGGCCATCACGTGCATCCCTCAGGAACAATTTTTGGACCTGCCTTTTTTTGAAAGTCAGGTCCCCAGCATCAAAAAGGAAGGGGAGAGAGAGTGGAAGAGAGCCTATTAGACATATGAGAGAGAGAGAGAGAGAGAGAGAGAGAGACTGACTGAACAAGGTATAGACAGAAAGTGACTGTGGAATTGCATACCCTGAGGATAAGGGCTATAGTCAGAGTGATAATGATACAGAGAATGTCATTAGAGAGAGAGAAAGATGGGTATGTAAATGGAGAGAGATGGGTGCATAGATTATAAAGATGGGTGTGTAGAGAGAGAGAGAGATGGGTGTGTAAAGAGAGAGATGGGTGTGTAGAGAGAGAGATGGGTGTGTAAAGAGAGAGATGGGTGTGTAGAGAGAGAGATGGGTGTGTAAAGAGAGAGATGGGTGTGTAGAGAGAGAGATGGGTGTGTAAAGAGAGAGATGGGTGTGTAGAGAGAGAGATGGGTGTGTAAAGAGAGAGATGGGTGTGTAGAGAGAGAGATGGGTGTGTAAAGAGAGAGATGGGTGTGTAGAGAGAGAGATGGGTGTGTAAAGAGAGAGATGGGTGTGTAGAGAGAGAGATGGGTGTGTAAAGAGAGAGATGGGTGTGTAGAGAGAGAGATGGGTGTGTAAAGAGAGAGATGGGTGTGTAGAGAGAGAGATGGGTGTGTAAAGAGAGAGATGGGTGTGTAGAGAGAGAGATGGGTGTGTAAAGAGAGAGATGGGTGTGTAGAGAGAGAGATGGGTGTGTAAAGAGAGAGATGGGTGTGTAGAGAGAGAGATGGGTGTGTAAAGAGAGAGATGGGTATGTAGAGAGAGATGGGTGCATAGATAGATGATAACGATGGGTGTGTAGAGAGAGACAGAGAGAGATGGGTGTGTAGATAGATAGATATAGAGAGATGGATGAACTCCTCTGTAATGTGCCTAAGGAGCACACAGGATGCAAAATCCATGGCAGCGAGAGGTAGATCCTGGTTTGGAAGATGTGAGTTATACACCAGGGCCAAATGAGCTGGGAAAACTCTTGCTTGGGACAGGGGAGGCATTGAGGAGAGCCAATGGGCACTGGGCATTCTGCAAAAGGTTAGGTCATAAGCAGCTGACTGGTCAGGCGTGCCAAGGGCAGGAGGGAACAGAACCTGCAAAGAGGAACAGGCAGCACAGCAGACTGGACAGCACTTTACGACACAGCACGGTGGGCACAAGACACATGGGAGTGGGTGAGGAGGGGCTATTGCAGCAGGGACTGCTGGTCCATGCAGATCTACAGGTCAGCAGTGAATGGTTGTGTGTGGGAAGGGGTGGGACAGCATGGTCTGATCGGTGACTTCCTGCTGTGGATGGACCCGGGAGGGCAGTTGTCCATTCCAATTGCGGGGAGGATGCGCTAGATTGACACCCATTTCTCAGGGCACCTGAGGGGCGTGAGGCCAGCCCTAGAGATGACACTGATCAAAGAGAAAATAGGATCCCCTCTAGTGATAGACAGAAGATCTTGGCATCCCACCACCCCTGCCCGAGAAGGGCAGAGCCCCCGGATAAAAGGTGTTCAATTGAGGCAAGGGTTGGGCTGGGGCAAGAGGCCGAGCAAGGCGAGGTTGTGGGAGGCGATAAGCCGAGCGCAAGGGCGGGGGTAGGAATTCTCTGGAGGCGAGGGTGGGAGCGAGGGCAGCCCATACACATATCACAAGCCACCTGGGGGACGCAGACACACACAAATAGTAAGGAAAAAAATGGCCAAGTTCAATCCCCAAACCAGGTCACTTGTTGATTTCTCACCTGTGATGTGCTCACCTGATCTACAAGCCATATCCACATCCTTCTCAAAATCGGTCTGAAAGACAGAGAAAGCAGAGGGCGTGGTCAACGGGGCGGGGGGGGGAGGGGATGGGAAGTGGGACGGGAAGGAAACCTGAAGTCCAATGAACCGTTCTACTATGGATCACACTCAAAGCAACGGAAATCCAGATAGAGAGGGGCCAACAAGGGATCTGTTCACAGCCCTGGAATGAGACTCTGCCTAATGGCCCTGACATAGGAAACACAGGCCTCTGAAAGAGGAGAGTGGGGCATGGGAACCCCAAGAGAGGGTTGCCCAAAGCAGCTGTGTGCAGCCCCCCTCTTCCTAAACTAGTCTCTGCCTTGAAACACTTGGTTGCTACCATCCCAGAGAATGGGGGAAATGGAGTCACACCAGCACTTGGGCTTCCAAGTAATAATGTCAAAAAACAACGAGGAAAAGGCAGAAGTGGTCGATAAATATTTCCATTTTCCATTTGCTAAGAAGCTGGAGGATGTGCTTCTGTCACAGGAGATTCTGTAGTGCTTTCCCGTCCATTAATAACTAAGGGGGAATTTAATCAACATCTCCTAGGGATAAACATTTTGAACCCAGCAGGCCTGGGTAATCCGCACAATTAAAAGAGTCGGCCGAGGCATTTTCTAGCCTGCTGATGTTAATTGTCCATAAATCTTGAAATATTGGGCAAACTCCAGAAGACGGGAAGAACATTAATGATATTGGCAAGAAGGATGACTTTGGTATCACACACTGGTTAGTCTGACATTAATGGAATGGAAAAGTTGATATGGGATTCAACTGATAACGAGTTAAAGGCGAGGATTACAATTAGCACCAATAAACATGCTTTTATGGGAAATAGGTCTTGTCAAACACACTTGATTTCATTCTTTGATGAGATGACAAGGTTGGTTGATAAGTAAGACATTTAGATGCCGCTCAATGATATCGCTCAATGTTCTGATTAAAAAATGAGCATTATAAAATATGAATAGAGCACACATTAAATGGATTAAGGACTGGCGAAGTGACAGATCCCAAACAGGAACTGTCAATGGGGAATCAGCACTGAATGGATGTGTTTCTAGTGGGGTTCTGGAGGAGTTAGTCCTGGAGTTGATGCGATTCAATAGTTTCATTCATGATCTGGAAATGCATATAACATCCGTGATGGTAACATTTGCAGATGAAACAAGATAGGTGGAGCGATAAGTAAGGATGAGAACACTCCAATCACACAGAGTGATCAGAACTGCTTGGTCAATGGGGCCTTTGCAAACAGAACGTATCTTAATGCAGCCAAGGGCAAAGTGTCACATCTCGGAACAAGGAGTGCAGGCCAGGCCTACAGAAACGGGGACTGAATGACTGTGGAAAGGATCTTGGTGTGGAAAGGAGCTCTCATGTGATGCCTTGGCCAAGAGGGATAGTGCAACCTTTGGCTGATAAATAGAGGAACAGGGACTATGAACAGAAAGGTGATTTTCCCTCAATAGAAGACACCACTGAGACCAACACTGTAGCCTCTTCTGGCCACATTTTTCACAGGGCACTGAAACAGTGGAGAGAGGGCAAAAACAAGCCTGCAATGCTGGAGAGGAGGTCTTAGAATGAGAAACTTGAAGCGCTCCATCTGTAAAACAGATCATAACAAGGACTAAGAAATGACTTACTGACAGTGTGTAAGTACCTCCATGAGGGCAAAGGAGAGGATAATATGAAGCGCCTTCATCTAGCTGGGAACGACGCCAAAGGGACAAAAGGTTGGAAGCTAAAGCCAGACAAACCAAATTAGAAAGAAGGCACAAATATTTAACAGTGAGCGTGCTCAACCTGCCAAGGGAAATGGTCGATTCTTTCTCTCTTGATGTCTTCAACTCAAGACTGGATGCCTCTCTGGACAATTAGCTTCAGTTATAGGGCTCAATATTAGGCGAGTTGGATGAAATTTTATGCCTTATGATCTACAGGAGTTCAGACTAGATGATTTAATAGCCCGTCTGGCCTCGAGCTTTATGACTCTATGAATATGTTGCATCTCTTGGCCTGGTTGGCTGGACACTCAGGCAGAAAGATAGAGGGAAGCCCCAACAAGCCTGTTTTGGAGCTCAGGAAAATCTTGTAAACTGTGTGATTGGCCTACTTACCCAACGCGTAAATATCAGAGACAAGAAAGAATTCTTAGGACATCCATTCCATCATGGAAGGGCCAATGTAGGGCAGTTCCCTACTGCATATTCTCCAGGACTTTATCTGGTCCAGTTCTGGAGGACTCACGTAACAGGATGAAGTTTGCAGAAAATAAGCTTAAAATAAGCACTGAAAAAGGTATGTTACGGAAAGAGGGAAGACAAGTACTTTGGAGAGACAAAGTCTCCTCCTAAAGGATGTCCTGAAAATCGTGACCATGATGTGACATGCTCCGAGAGAACAGATATTAAATTGCTGTCTCCTAGAACCAGGCTGGACAAAACATGCAGCCTGTCCGAGGCAGAAAGGCCTGGGAAATGTCTTTTGTAGGAAAGCTGCGGCATGTGAGTTGTGTTATCCTTAGACAGAAAGGATCCAGACTCGCAGAACAACAAGAAAGCTGTTTGCACAGGCCTAGTGGGTGGGTTATTGAGACCTCATCGTTGTCAAATGGGAGCTATATATGGGTGGAGCTGAGGCTCACTCAAGCCCCAGGATGTAAAAGAATCTTAGTGTGATGATTGCTAAGCCTAAATTGTTGAAATAGAGCCCTCTGTGCACTGGATCCAGGCTAAATGCGCCTGGTCCCTTTGCAACCGGGCAGGAGGCACTTTATCCTACCATTAGCTGAGCATGTCCATTCTGAAATGACCCTCCTGAGTCTCCGTTCCCCTCTTCTTGACGATCCACCACGCGGCACTTCACTGCATCCTGGACCTGCAGGGGGAAACGGATTAGCGCAAGACTGAGTCAGACAGAGGCACCGTTTATAGCCAAGCAGCATCTACCCTGCTGGGGATAGATTGTGATGCTCATGCGGTCCCATGGTTCCTGTTTGCACAGGGCTTGACTTCACTACATGGAAGATCACCGCTGCCGCGATCGATCTTCCGGAGATCAATGTAGCGAGTCTAGTTAAGACTTGCTAAATCAAACTCAGAGGGCACCCCTGCCTGCATCTGGTACTCCTGCTCTTGCGAGGACTAAGGGAAGCTGACGGGAGCATTTGCTCCCATCATCCTCACACTGTGGGGATGCTGCCAAACTCAGCTTAAGGTAAACTGACTCCAGCTATGTATTCTGCAGAGGTGGTGTTGTGTACCTTAAGCCAAGCTGCCAGTGTAACCCAGACACCTCGTGTGGTTACTAAGCAATGCAAGTGGAGCCTAGACCACAGCAACACTTCAGATCAAGAGACCTTACAGCATAAGCTGGGAGGCAGCTGGCTTTTAGCTCAGAGGGTAGAGGCTCCTATACTCTGCTCCAGAGGTCCCAGGTTCAAGTCCACCTGGGGGGCAGTTACACTGGGTCTAGTGTAGACCTGGCCACAGGGACTTCAGAGGGGCTGAGAGGATACATATCCAACACACTACCTCCACGGCCCTGAATGCTTACAGTATTATTACTTGGGGTAGCTCCCAAAGTAGCTAGATGCTGGATTTGCGTAGGCAGGAATAGCCATGAATTTATTCTGTAACCCATGATATATAAGGTCAGATCAAGACTCTATACAGTCTGCATTATGTGTCCGATCATAAGCTCGCTGAACTCAATGGAAATAATCCCAATGAGACGGCCAAAAGGGGTAATGAAATTAATTAAAACACTTTGGCCTAGGTCAATACCTGGTGTAATTCCACTAATTTCAGTGGTCTGACACTAGGAACAGATCAGGCCCACTTCCGGTAAAGGCATGACAGCGAGGTAACACGCACAGATGTAACTAAAAAGATCCTTGTCGATGTTATTAATGACACCTCATTTTATTGCAATAGAAAATAAAGTTCCACCATCGATGGAGTTCACTAGTTTAAAGTAAAAGAAACTTTCAGTTTCTGCTCAGAGTCAACTTTAATTTATGGCACTGTATATGCTGTGTTTGGGTTTCCAACACTGTTAGGGATTATTTCGATACAACCCCTCAAACCATATATTTGTTTTTTGGTGATATTGTCTTTAAACATGGATGAAACCTTTTCTGCAAATCCAAGGATTTTATTTTAAACCAAACTTAGATTTTGCACCAGTGATAAACTGAGGCTTGTCCCCCAAACTCTGCTGCACGGTATGTTTTCAGCACGAAATCTACCTTGCTAAGCTCTAAGGATCTTAAATTTAGATTAATCAGCTAATTGTATAGTCAATGCAATTTGCATCGACTGTTCAATCAGTCGATAAGGGCACCTCTGCTTTTGAAATGTGGCAATTTCAAAGGTGGAAATGCTGCCCGTTCCCCGCTGTGCTCCTGCCCCTCGACAGTGCTGGGGGAAACTGGCTTTTAAGATGGCTCCTCCCAGTACCAGCTCCTGCTCCCCCCCCGCTGCCTCTCTCTGATAGAGACAGCGAGGTGGGGGAGCGACTAGTCGAGTCGATGATCCAATGAGCATATGCTTCTCGGCTAGTCTGACAAACAGAGGCTAGAGACACTATTCCTTACCCATACTGGCTAATAGCCATCTATGGACTTAACCTCCATGAATTTATCTAGTTCTCTTTTAAACCCTGTTATAGTCCTAGCCTTCACAACCTCCTGAGGCAAGGAGTTCCACAGATTGACAATGCACTGTGTGAAGAAGAGCTTCCTTTTATTTGTTTTAAACTTGCTGCCCATTAGTTTCATTTGGTGGCTCCTAGTTCTTATATTATGGGAACAAGTAAATAACTTTTCCTTATTCACTTTCTCCACACCACTCACCGAGGTCATACTCATCAGTGGGACGTCTGTCTAGCTGAATGTCATACCCCACTGCTCAAGGGCACTCCCTCGCCACACTGGGGGCAAGTTGCAATTCCCAATCGGCTCTCTGGGCTGTGCCGTAGGAATCGCCAGCCAGGCTCACCTCTCGTCTCAGGATGCAATGAACCATCACGATAACAAAACCCTCCAGGGAGTCAAAGACCGCAAAGAGGATCTGGAAGAGTGCTGACCGCCGGTCCGTGATTGCCAGAACCGCAGACATCCAGGTGAGTGCCAGGAGAGGTAGGACCACACAGGAGCTCCAAAGGGAAGCCCTGTCAGGGAAGAGAAAGCAAATCCAAGGTCAGCATCATCCCCAGCCTGTTAAATGTTGTGATCACTCGTGGGAGCCAATTCAGTGTCCTGATCCCATAGGGCAGCGGAAGAACTTTCCACAGCAACAGTGGACTCGTTCTGGGGGCATTTCTGAGCTCCTGGAGGGATGCAGGAGGCTGCTTGGTTCATCCCACTCATGCCGTCGGAGCAGGCGGCAGGCCCTTTGAGGGGACTACTGCTTAGTGGTGCGAGCATGCACAGAAACTTGGGGTGAGGAGGAAGGAGGCAGGAGTATCATGTCCCCCTCATGCCCCTCCCACTCCACACTGCTAATCACATTGGGTGGCATTGTCCAAGGAAAGGAGAGAAGATGTAGCCACTGTGTGTTGCAAGAGAGACGTGGAACATCTACAGCAGAGTCCAGATTGCCTTGATAGACTTTGACACTTAGCTCATAGCTTCTGCTGCCTGGCACTTGGTAAATCAGTAGCACGTGGTGGGTTTTTTTCGGAAGGTTCAGGTGGCTAAGCTAACAAGGACAGAGTGGAGCCTGGACACTAAGGCTATGTCTACATTGCGCTCTCTTGTGCAAGAACATATGCAAATGAGCGGCGGCAATTTTCTTCGCCACACCTCATTTGCATATGTTTTTGAGCAAGAGAGCGCAATGTAGATATAGCCTAGGGCTGCTGCAAGCTCATTTGCATAGGTCGCACTCTCATTTGCATTTCCTCTTCGGATCCCTTTTGCGCAAGAGGCTGTTGCGCGAAAAGGAGCTGTGTGGATGGCTCCTTTTTGTGCAAAAAAACCCTTTTGCGCAAGAGCCGTTCTTCCTCATTGCAACGTGACGTGCTGATGTTGCTAATGGCGCCGTGATGCAGTAAGGTTATAGAATCGGCCTCTTCCATGGGTTGTCAGGGGGGCATTAAACCCAAGATCTTTGTGGCCTGACATCAAGAAATAAGGCTTTTTCCCTGCAGCTGAGGTAGACATTTATCCCCTTATGTATGTATCCCGTGCACTAGAAAGAGAAAGAGACCAACATTCTCTTGTTCGTGGCCTGCCACTGCTATATGACTGGACAGAGACAGTATGTCATGGCATTACGCTGGTGCAGCCTCGAATGATCCCAAGTAATGGCATCACAACATGAGGTGCGGATGTCACAACGCAGCGTGATGATGTAACGTTATGATGTCATGGGACAACAACAGTCCTCATGTTTCTTCCACAGGACAGAGAGGGCATGTCTACACTAGGAAATTATTTTGAAATAACTAAATTCTAAATAATAACTCCCGAAATAACGATTTCAAAATATGCTTATTCCCCAAGGAAAGCAGGAGTTATTCTTTTGAAATAACCAGCCCTTTATTTCTAACTCATGAGCTTGGTAGTATGGACGCTCTGCTTGTTATTTTGAAAGAAGGGGAGTTATTTCCAGATAACTCCCTGGTGTAGACCAAGGCAGTGAAAACCTAGCAAACTTAGTATGGCAGCACATGTGAAGCCATATTCAGCCTTGTCAAAAGCAAGTACAGGTTGAACCTCTCTAGTCTGTTCCAGCAACAACCATAGTCCAGAATGCTTTGAGTTAGCCAGATGTCCGCTTGGCATGGCCAAGTTTCCCGGGGTCCCATAAAGTTTGTTGACATCCATCAGTCCTGGCTCTTAGTATTCTGTGCTGTTATTTCGCTATAATTTACTCCTAAATGTCTCCTAAGAGCCTAGTAAGCCGTGGAAGTGTTGGTAATGCTGCTAGACAATATTAACCTCCTGTGATTCAGCGAATTCTCTGGTTTGGAACTGGTCAGGTCCTGAGGGTGTTGGACTAGAGAGGATCCACCTGTATATGTCAAGGTCTTCAAACAGAGTCTATTCACCAACAGTAGACCCAGAAGATGGCCTGTTTCATTCTTTATTATTGAAATCTCTCTG